AAAAAACGAAACCATGACAATGTCACCACATTTAGATGGTGGATTAAACTAAGAAGTGACAAGTAACACGAAACGAAACAGGGATGTGAAACAATGATGTGAAACAATAAAGCGAAACAATGATGTCAAACAATAAAGCGAAACAATGATGTCAAAGTAGGCGTGAGAATCATATAAAATGAGCAAGAAACGAACATCCTGATTGCATCACACAGGAAACAATATGTGAAACCATTTCTCATCAGCACAATGCAAATATAATCCATCATCTAGTTATAATAACCCTTGTTATTGGAACTCCAAAGTGGGAGCTATACCCTTTGAAAATACAGGAATGCATCTATACTCTTAAAATAAGATATTATTTCCAGATATGTTTTAAGTACAAGAGTTGTAAATCTGAACCATTCACTTCATATTGATACTCCAATAAAAGACCATAAAAGCTCATTTGAGATTGTTAAGATTTTGTCAGCTTATATTTACAAAATCATTGATTATAGTCAGAGGGTAATGTGGATAGTTGATGAGTTTTAAGGGTAGAAGGCTTATGACATTTAAAAAGGAAACTACATCAGTCTATAAAAGTGCCATGTACAAATATTAGTCATAAATTAAACAGTTCTTGACAGGAGAAAATTGCAAAAAGGACAATCAAGCATCCCAATTAAAACTTGGAAATTGTTATTTGGAACAGTAAATGAAACAGTTGAAATTATCACAGGATATGATATCATTGAGGAAAATGATCACTGCAATTATCATATAGGGCAATTGTTAGATTTATCATTCCAAGCTAACTTTCAATCAATTTAATACTAATCGTATCCTCGATATATTGCAAAGAAGAAGACTGTTCAAGGCTCATCATCACTAAATATTTGTTTTCTTTGATCGATAATCGATATTCGTTCTATATTGTTTGAGATTGTGAATTCATATACGAGAGCTTCTTTCATAGAGTGACATAAATGGGCCATAGTTGTGAAATGAAACATGAAAAATATACTAACAACAAGAGATGACCGTATATGTTGTCATAAAGTAGCACTCTAGCCTTTAACAGTTTGGGTTTGCTTCTTAAAAGAGAGCTTCATCTTCGTAACATACAAGGTGCTGTCCCTCGGGGTATAATCAAACAGCATCGAACTGAAAACATAATTCATAAAAGATGAAGATGTATTTCCTTTTGCTACGATAAAACAAAGGTCCCTTGTTGGTAATTTGGATGAGTCAGTGAGTTAGAATATTATAGGGATTACCCTTTAGTAATATCGCACAGTCGATTATGTGATCACGTCAGAAAAGAAACAGGAAATTAACAAACTATTTGAAGAAATGTGAAACCTCAATTGGTGCTGAACCAAAATTTTTCAAAAATTTTTTCTCAAATTTTGAGAAATATTGAAAATATTATCATTAAATGGTTATTTGTAAGAGTGAAATAATTATTATTAGCCCAATGTGCATCAGAGAACCATTTTTCCAATATTGATTTCCGTATTCTTATATTGCGTGCAACTTCGTATTTGATATAAGTAGAACATGTTGTCCCCTATTGCTTACTGTGTCTCTTTGATATTAGAATGCCTGGTATTCCTTTTTCTTTTATCAACAATTTCAATAATATATACTATTGATTTCTCTGGTATTTGTGTGTTATTTAAAGTATTACCTACATGCCTATTCATTTAGAGCACTGTATTCCGTGGTTTTCTGTAGTAAAACCTGTCTTGGTGAACACCTCTCTCTAGTGAACACCTGTGTTAGATGAACACCACTTCAAGATGCATTTTACACTGGCTCCTGTATAAAGTCCCCTCTGTAGTAAACACCTACCTACAGTGAACACTTTTCATGCCTCTATAGGAGTTCGCTATATACAGGTTTTACTGTATGCATATAAATCCATATGGTAAATTGTGACCGAAATCTGGTGATCGATAACCAACATTGAGAAGCTGATGGATCTAATGAAGATGATTCTACATTATTTGATTATAATCTATGATGCTTCATCACAAGTAGGAAAAACACTGCGTAAATACATCACCTAATAGTCCTGTATCAAGTCTAGGTATATTCCTTTGTGTTGGAGATCGAGGGGGTGGGGGGATGGACATGATATATATATCACTCAGATGATCATTGTGTTCAATTTAATTTAGGAATACCATTGTTTTAATATATCTAATAGTCCTATACCAAGCCTATGTATATTCCTTTGTGTTAGAGAGAGGGGAGGCATATGGGCATGATGTATCATTAATCTGATCACTGTTTTCAATTAATTTATTTATAATCTATCATAATCTTATGTCATAATCGAGTCTCTAAACCCCCTCCCACCACCTATTCCACTAGGGGGGGGGGGGGTCACAAGGGCTTGTAGCAAGACAAAAACCGTGTGGAACAAACTGGCAAGGGTCTAGTACGCTATGTAAACAAAGCTCTCTTTTGAAGAAAGCAAATCTTAACTATTGAAAATGGTTTTCCAAGGTCTTGATAATACAGGGTGGGCCACGGTGTACAATCAGAACGGGTAACTTTTTTTGGCCCACCCTGTATATAAAAGATGTAACCTGAGAAATAAACAAGAAGTCTTTGAAACTAAGCCATCTAGATAATCCTAACAGGTCTCGAACATTAACAAACATTTCTCAAGAACCCAAAATTGTGTTACTTATATCCTTTAGGTGATTACATATTGTGAGAGCAATGTTCTTGGAGACCCTTATATAATCAATATTTACTTCAGTTCTTTCTGCAATGCAGTTCAAGGGGATTTGTCCGATCCATCAATATTTATACAGTGGACATAAGAGACCTGGGAGTTAATAATGGTAACGTTGTGTTCTCACTTTTTTTCAACTGGGTGAAACCATATTTTAACAAGTCAAGAGTATGGAAAAAAATCAGCTGCAAATTCTTATTTCATCCTCCCATTACATCTAGGAATCATTTAACTGGTGAAAATATTACATTTACGAGGTTTTCCATATTGTCAACTGGGCACCTTGGTTTTCAAAGTTTCAATATTGTTCAACTGTGTATTGGATACAAATGAGTCTTACTTCAAGTCTATGGACCACCCTCATTATCTTCATCAATATGGAAAGTGTTTTTGGTTATAGCTACCATATCAGGAGAGAAATAGTCTCAGGCAAGGAATAACCCTTTAAAAGAGAGTTCATTTAATCTACTTACTAGGCTCTGACAGCCATGACAAATTAACCTTTACCATGCTGCCTTATTTCAGCAAATATATCCCACGCAACTGGCTTATTTTTCAAAGAGTGCAAAAAATGATATGCCTGGACTAAATAATTAATATCTCAATAACTACTGAATGAATCTGGATAAAATTTTCACAAAGGGAAGATACAGTGGCCTGGCTCATGAAAAAAAATGTTCTCATGAATTTTTTCGTACATTAACACGACTGGGCATCAATATACCATGAATACTTCTCCGGAATCCGCCGCTCCGCCCTTTCGTCTGGTCAGAATCCAAATCTGAATTTGCAGCGATCGAATGTTCAATTTTTCAATTCAGAAAATATTCTAGTTTCTATTTTCGATGACCGTTATCGGCTTCCAAGAGCCTAAAGAGCTTGAAATCGTAATCCATTTCCTCCACATTTTCGTTGTGATCGTATTTGTCCACCATTTTGTACGATTCGTTCACTAAAAACGACTAAAACACTGTTTAAATTGTTGAATTGAGAATTATTTTTCGAAATATCGCCATTTCTAGGTCAACAGGAAGTCATGTTAGGCACTGAATAAATCGGGCAATCTAATTGGACAATACGAATGGCGCGAAAAAGTAAAGTTTTTAAAAGTTTGAAATCGGGCGTACGGGTCCGCCGGCAGTTGTGAGAGACATTTTAGTCTCGGCGGACGAGTCCGCCGGCAGCACGCTAAAGGTTAAAGAGTGTGGCTTACCAAGATGGGTCAACATAAAACAAACTTCTTCTCATATCAAATCATCAATCAAAAAATACTCTTAGAGATCAAAACAATATCTACGTATCTAATATTTCATAAGAAAATGCTCGACAAATCAAAAGCAAGGACTGAACAAAATTATAAAACATCGTGTGATTCCACTTTGCTTAAAAATAATTAATGACTTTAGTTAAGCCATTTTAACACAGCACTAACAGCCTCTAGCATATCCCGAAATGTGTTTAAATGCCAAAAATATGAAACTTCAAAAGTGGTTGATTATTAATCATTTTTGTCACGCTGATTTTTAAATTGAAACCTATAGATTAAAGAGTGAGGTCACCCATTGTGTTTACATGCCTCTAACTCGACCCTTCAAATACCTCCCATGTGTTGGTAATTATAATGATAATGTTACTCGACCTTTGACTCTAGTTTTCAATTAAAACATATTATGTATGCATTGGAAATTGAAAGGTTATATAAAGCATGTTGATAAACATCTATTTGATTCAGGTGTATTCGTATGTATTAGTACATGGCTATGTTTCAATGTTTTTGTTTATGTCTAAAGTCCTGTATACAGGCCAGAAAAAACGTTAACTTTTTGACATGCTTATAACTATGTTATAAATAAGTTCATATAAGAGCACATTTCCCAACTTTGTACATGGCTTCATATGTATTTCCGACCATTTAAGTATTTGTTTGACTTGCTTAGTTAGTTGTTAATATAACTTGTTTGTTTAGAAGTCAGTTTATATCTTTGCACATAAGGTAATTTAGTAAAATGCCTCTAGAAGTGAAACACTTCAACCTCCTATTCCAACTAATGTAAAATGAACCTGGTTTAAGTAGAACACTATTTTGGGTACTTATGGTGTTATATGTACGTGCTTAGTAGGTGTTACTTAATGTGCATGTGTGTATATTTGCTATCACTTTATTTTTGTCCTTGTGTGTATGTTATCATCCTTGTGTGTCTATTATCACCCATGTGTGTCTTTTATCATCCTTGTGTGTCTGTTATCATATTTGAAGTTGACTTACCCTTAGAACTTGTGGCCAGATCTGCAACTTTCTGAAAAGTATCCAGGAAGGCACTACAAGCAATAACTGTAGCCCTGAAACAAAAAATTAAAATAAGTTTAACGATGATTTTGATCTAAATCAGTATTAAATTGCAATACATTTCATTTGTTGCTTCACTCATTTCTCAGTTTTAGTGACAATGTCATGAAAGTTTCATAATAATTGGGTCGCAAAACTTTTTAACATTCTACATTTTATCAAGAGATAAATTTTTAATTGTAATAATGATTCAAATGAAATGCTCTCTATTTCTATATTACATTTGGATAGTCATTTTCAGTTGTAATCAGTGTATAAATCATAAGTTAAACCCATAATGTTGATACCCCAGTGTCAGAGCCTAGTAAATCAGATGAAGCTTTCTTTTAAGAAGCAAAATCAAACTACTGTACATGTATTAGAAAAGGGTACACTGCTCAATCCAGTTTCTCACCACCTAAAAATGGTCTGATGAATCAAAATGGTGAGAAGTGACTTTTTATATCTACCAAACCACCTGTGTCTCATTTGGCACAGTTTGGACATTTCTTAGGTCAACTATTTTTTGCAAACTTTCAAACTTACTTGAGTGCATGGTGCAGCTTGGTGGCCTTTGATGTGAAGTCTTCCCACACTGGTGTGCTACACTGAAAAACATAGAGGTAGATAAATGAGAAAATGACAATTTCATTTTAGTCTTGCTTGAAGGCCCTGTAACTCCCCTCCCATTACATGTCTCAAGTAGTACATAGGTGTCAGGGTCTAAAGACCGGATACACAATACAATAGCATCAATATTTGCAAATTGGTAAAATACAACCCTGCGTGTTGTGTACCTGGAACCTCATGTTATAGAAACTTTCAATATGACATAATCGTGTAATATGTAAAATTCCCAATATTTGTAAAATCATCCTTTCACACCATTCAAATCCGGGGATGATATCAATACCCTTTACAGGGATACAGCCACATATTGTTATCTCAGTACAGTAGGGGTGAATCTACTCCTTGATATTTTTGCAATGTATCTAATAATTGTAGTCTATAAGGAATCATTCGGGATTACATTATCAAAAGCAAATCTGATAATAAATCAGAAATCTGGTATATAAAAACTCATCAGGTTTTATATTATGTACATATAGATATCAGAAATGCAACAGGGGGATGTATAATGATGAATAAATCAGTTTTTCTTTTTCCTTGGAGTAAAGGCATAATGGGCCAGAAAGACAAAAAATCGGCTTATATGTAAAAGCTTTTTACTTTCAGTGAAATAAAAGCAATTGCCCTTGTGTATACTAAGAGAAAAAAATTAGTCTCATATATTTTAATTGAATTATCATTATAAATTGCGGTATATATGAGAGACTCGGGAAAGATTAGGGACTGGTTCAAAACTCTAATTTTTGATGTCTGTCAATTTAAACTAATGAAGATGGCTTGAGACAATTGAAATAATCCTAAGGTGATTGATTATTTTTCATGGATTTCAGAGCTATATTTAGCAAAACTTCATTCCCCAGTTGGAGAAAATCCTTTTTTAGAATACCCTTATAGTGCCAAACACCTTGACTACAAAGGCAAAAAATGTTTCAATTATTTGGGGGATAATTGCTGGGGGAGGGGGAATTACACATTGTTTCTTTTCACATTAGATCATGGTTTGAGATAGTTTGGGTTTATTTTTCTTATGACTGGTGTCTCTTAGATGTTATGGTTTCTCTTTACAAGGCCACCTACCAGGATATTATGGAACAATATAAGAAGGGAATACAATATTTGGACAACTGATTTTGATCGAATTCTGACCGCAATCACCAGGTGACATGGAAAACAAGGATCTGAAACTAATTTTGTGAATCTTTTACGACTTCGTCAAAATATCTCGTTTAAGAGCTCCTGTCCATGGGGCAAAAATTCTTCGATTATCCGTACAATACATTACATTATGTAATAGCGTAACCTAAAGCCAAAAAGATTAGGCCCCTTAGAGACTTCAATCCTCTTGTAGAATTCCTAGTTTATTTTGGAATTTAAGGTTTTGCATAAAAGGATTTATTAAAGGAATATTCAGTGAGATAACCACCCTTTTTGATCATTATAAATTCCATCTTTATTTTTTTAAAATATTGAAAAAATGTTCTATACTCTTGGTAGGGAATCTTATTTTTCCATAGAAGTAATCTATATTTCATTTCAGTTGGCATAATCTTAAGCCTTGTCTAATCCTCGTAGATAAAGTATATTTTAGCTGACAAGACTGGAGGCTGAACCACTAATATCCAGTGATCCATGGAGTTGTTTATCCTTCCAAATAATTTGGTAGTCTAGCTACAAACCCTCCTGAGCTCCCTCACTACCATCGTGAGATATCACGGCTTTCTCTCAGTGTCCTTCTTGTGCATAGCAGAGATGGTCTGAGTATCAGAATGCCTCACTACACTCCTTCCACAAGTGTTGGTGGAGTATATAAGGGGGGGGGAGGGTCCAGAGTTCTGAAGCAAGACTAACTGGTTATTCCCTTCCAGTAGTTAACAAGTCTGTCCTGATTCCCCATGAATAAGCTACCTACCCTTTGACCATTTCAGATGATTTGACAGTTTTGATGCTGAGAAGATTTTTAATCTTTATCATCTCAAATGGTGCTTTTATCAGATTTTAAATGTGAAATGAATATGTGACTTTATGGCAGTAAATGAAGTGTCATTATTGATTGGATATGGGCGAGATCAAAAAATTGTCCCTCATTATCAGAGTGCTATTCTAGTATAAGGGTGAGCTCTGATAAAGGGTAACCAATAGGTCAACACTGGAATTTCCAATATATGTGATTGTGAGCATGACCTTCGGTGAAGTCAACCAACTGTTAATCAACTAACATTCTGTGGAAATACCACAGATTATTAAATTATACCACCCAATATAAAATTATATCATAATGACTTTAAAGTTAACATAGAAAATCTATGAAAAACCAATTACTAGGGAAACAAAAACAAATAAATGAAATTAATGTAAAAATTACAATTTTAGACAAAAAGAGTGGAATAACATGATAAATGGAAGAATCTTGGTTTGGATATAAATCCAGACTCCCGTGTGTTACATACCATGCCCCATGTTATGTATGATACGCCACCAAACATAACACCTCTTACCAAATGAACCCTGATTTCTTGGCATGAGCCAAAAATGAAATATGGAAACTATAGGGTGGTGGTTTTAGAATGAAGGTCTACAAGATGAAAGATACATGGTCAATTTCTTCCGTTGAATTGAGGAATTACAATTGTTTTAATATAAGAATTACATTTCCATTAATTTTGCCTGTGTTATTTTCAACCAGTTTGCCAGTTGTTTTTAATCATTTTGCCAGTTGTTTTCATTCATTTTACCCATTGTTTCATTTTTTCATCAATTTTGCCTATTGTCAGAAATTCCAAAGAAACCCCTCAAGTTTTTTAGACAAATTTTGATAACATTTCATCAGCTTATACGAAAATGAAATTAATTTTGGCATCTTTTGCAGCTTCATTAAAATATCATGTTGAATCCTTCTAACTGGTTACAAAGATTTATGCGGGTAATATTAATCAATCAGGAATTACAGAGGTTAATTAATCCAAACCTAGAATGGTGCATCAGAGTGCATGTATTATACAAACTATAGGTTTAAATAGGTACCAAGGCAGGCACCTACATACCTCTACAGGGTGTAATTTTAATTACCAGGATAAATCTTTTTATTTATCAAAATGCTGGTTGATCAGTGAGTCTTGAGTTGGGAGAAAAACGAAGAAAATTTGAAAAAAACAGCGGCAGTGTTGATACCTGAGAACAGAGACTGTACACGAAACTACCTTTTAGAGGACAAAAATTAAGCTCTTTGAAAGGGCATGTAGGTTCTTGGCTTCATGTAGATCTCTTTCCCATCTTGATGCTGCTATCACAGGTGGAATTACAACAAATTATATCATATCAGAATCCAGAAAATAGTAACCCTTTGAAAGAGCAATTCACTCCTCATACTCTTTAAATGAATGATAAAAAAGCTCAAACTTGCAGAACCAATCAGAGCTGGATTGCTTACTTTTTTTAGTACAACTAAGTAATTTTCATGTACATCTAACTGGCTCTTTAATGCTCAGATTGGTTGATTACAAAACTGTTAATGAACCAAAAATAATAGTAAGAGGCTGGTGTACTATCTGATTTAAAGCGAAGAGTAAGAAATTAGTTTACCAGATATTTATATAATATACAGCATTCATGATATAACACATAGGCTTCATCTAGCAAGGTGTCCAGGTCTATTGAGAGCGTTAATCTCTTAATCCTACCCTGTTAATCCACTGAGATAATCCTCTTTAACCCCATCTGGACTTTCTGGGTAGCCCAGCCTTGTCTCAATTATTGTGGCGTGGCGGTAGACATATAGGAAATGACTTCTTGAAACAATTAGAATTTCACCCTTTAGAATTTCCAGGATAGGTATATGTAAGAGTTCTCTATCTGATTTATTAACTTTTGTTGATCTTTTATCAACTACAAAAATAGATGACTGCGACAATATTTGATGCAAAATTAATAACTACTCATTCAGCGAAAAAATAACAATGATGTGATGTCATAATTATACTGGCTTCATTTAGGTGACGATTGCATTTCTCATCACAACTTGTCTTTGTTTTTTCAATATTTTTCTAAATAAAGAAAGTGTAATGAAAACTCAGAATGAACATCTCTAAGATAGACGCAATGTTGCTAACACAATCATTTAATCCTCTTGTACTGCTCACGATTCAAAATAAATATAATATGTTCACATTTTGATAGCAACGAGATTTCACTTGGGCCTCCCAGACTCTATAAAGACGCAAAATCTTTTGGATCTTGCATCTTTGGTAGCAGACAAGGGTTAGACAAAGAAGGATTATGGTGAATCAGTTTGAATTTCTTTCAGTCCTTCAAAGATATTTTAGAATAGTCCAAGACATGTTACAGTAATCCCCTCAGGATTTTTCTCAGGTGGGTGCAAAATTCTCATTTTCACAATTCAGACCAAAATTGGTCAAAATATGCACGGACGTCAAGTACGTTTCTGGCGAAAGCTGGAGCATAGATTATTTAGAGGACTGGAAACAAGATGGCAGTCTATTTCAATTCTGGCAGTTCATTTTGGCCTATTTCTCACTATTGACTCAGTTGTTCATCTAGTTTTACTTACCTTAGATGCTTAGTAATCTATTTAGTATAATTTTGTTTCCAAAATTATTGTCATTTGCGATAATTAGTACTAAAAGTACTTTGAACAGATCAGCTGCCATTTGCTTGGCCTAATCGTACCAGTCCACAAAAACAGTGAAATCATATTAAAGATACCAATAAACTTTTAAATTGAGGCAGATGCAATACAAAAAGACTCTATTAATACAGATATACAGGTTACAGTCACCAAGATGAGCTAATTTCAGGCGAGATTCGGGAAATAAAAAGGTAGGTCATTCTGGTTTCCAGTCCTCTAAATAATCTATGCTCCGGCTTTCGCCAGAAACTTACTTGACGTCCGTGAAAATATGCCAATTTTTCATGTTTTTCTCATTTTCAAATGGGTGCAAAAGGATTTTCAGGTGGGTGCAATCCTGGTTTCAAAATCTCAGGTGGGTGCTACTTGCGACTTGCTTTAATGCTAGGGAGATCGCTGTGTTATATATATTTCACTTTGGTTCTTGATGTAGGTGGTCAAACATACTTCCTTTACATCTTGTTTCAATTTCTACTGGATGAAGAAGTCTATGTTTGACCCCCATATGCCCTGTTACAGAATGTAACTACCCCCTCCCTGTAAGTTCAATAGGCATCAATTTGTTGAAAAATAGGCCTTTAAATTCTAACATAACGTCCCATATTATTTCTCATATAAGAAAGATTTTGACTATATGCTATTATTAACAAAATTTGAAATTCTAAGAGGTTAGGATAGGTCTAAACACACATATGTATCCGCAATGTATGATGAAATGACATAAACTTTAAGTTACAAAATATTTAAAGGGATAGGCAAGGTTGATTCATTCATACATACAATATTGAATGATTTAAATCATCATAATATCATAATTATACACTGTACTTACTTCACTTTTGTCAGATGTGACATTCAATTTTGAGCATGTAACAACAGATTAACTATGTACTTTTAAAGGACATGCTTATGACTTGAATTCGAGCAAGCCCTCTGCTCTCTAACTTATCAGGGTCAGATATAAATCTAAAGCAATTTGTTTACATACTTTCTTAATACAATCATAATGTACCTGTTATAGGTTATCAGTGACATGTTAGCATATCAATGTTGATCAATGTTTTTATAGACATCCAAAGCAGCTTAGTCCCTTTAAAATAAATTATTTTGAGGCCAAATATTGTTTAGCTAGATTTTGAAATGTTATAATGGCAAATTGTTATAGGTTTAATTAATATGGATATACATGTAGATCGTAAGATCATGCCATTAACATAGATCTTAAGCTTACTTCCCAATTTATATTTTCTTGTAGTTTAAGACATGCTACAAGGTCATATATGGCCATTATAGCTTGATTTTGAACTTCATAGAGGGCTTTAAAAAGGCAGACTGTGAATTCATATTTGAGCTAAAAACAGGAATCACCAAGGTTTTTATAAAACACTACATATACACATCACGTAAAAGTGAAAGAAAGGGAATTCAAAACTGATAAAAAGCACTGAAATTGAGGTTTTAGTCAAACAAACATTAAAGCATACAGTTCATTTGCAAGAGCCTTTAAGCCTCGTGTTTTGTTATGAATCAAGGTCTTAGCCAATTTGGAACCTTTTATTCTCTAGCGCTTTTGCCAATTTTGAATTTTCAAACCCGGAATTAAACGCAATTTTTATTATGCTCAATTTGAATTGTTGTTTCGATCACTATAATCTCTGACTTTGGCCAAGTGAGTAAGAGTTACAGAAGTCAGTCAGTGCTTTTATCATTGGGGTTATGCAACAAGCAATGATAACTCCAGAGGACTTTCGTGGCCGCTACGTATATACACTATTAAGTACAGTTACAGCTTTAGTTTGAATATATAAACATTTTTTTGATACCCACTCACAACAAAATCTAGTTCGACAAGTTAAACTTCACACCAAAATATAAATCGACCTGTAGGATCAAAGGGGCAGGATCTCGGAAAATTATGAGGGTTATTGTGAAAACCAATTGATTATGCCTGGGTCACATTTCTTCCGATCCATCGACCGGCACCCAGTGGATTGAGTGTTTTGTTCAATATTGTATTCAATTTTGAACAAAATACTCAATCGGCCAGGCGCAGTAGTGAAAATCAGAGCAAATGTGACCAAGGCATTAACTTTTGCTCATCTCTATATTTGCTGTTCTGCATATACACTGCCCCCAGGATTCCGTGTTTGCAGAGCGCGGACAGAATTTGCCTCTGCCCGCGGAATTGCAGAATCAACTATTTTGGTCAATTTCCGCGGAATTTTCCGCAGAATCCATATATTTTCCAAAAGTTTAAAAAGTCAGTCTTACCTGTAACAATTTGACACGTTTTCAGTCAAATCCCTTGCAGAAATAACCCAAATTATGCGAAGTGAAAATTCGCCATCGTTTGATTTCTGCCGTTAGATGGCAGCATGTATGTAGTGACTGACTACCTGACTATCACGATATTTTCCCGTTTACTGGTTCGAAAACCATTAGTTTTTCTTTCGGTTCTCGTCAGAAAGTTAAACAAAGACATAAATTAATAACAGTTATTTATATTATTTAAGGAATAAATAATGATAGGCCATTCAATATGGTGAAATTCAGCACGAGTTGGACAGAATGTTGTACAAAGCACGAACCGAAGGTGAGTGCATTTGTACTAACATTCTGTCCAACGAGTGCTGAATTTCACCATATTGAATGGCCTATCATTATTTATTCCGATTCAAACATAAAAATTAGTAAAAGCCGTGTCTGTGGAACGGGCATGAAGGAAGAATACGCATGCTGTCGAGATTCTGAAGTCGGCCGGAAAATTTTTAGAATTTGATTGGTTGAGATGTGACGTCAGAGCCCCAGATGTGCAGCTGAGATGTGACGTCACTCAAAACAATGCAAATTGCAGATTGAATAGAGCATGGTCGTGCATCCATGGAGAATTAGAGAACGTTCTATATTGGCTATGCTGCATTCTGATTGGTTGAGAAATTCGAATAGAGCACGGTCATGTTTGAATAAGTTATTGATCGAAAACTTCGAACTCCAATGAGATATTACTGACTTAAAACCTGATTTACATATATCGTGATCCCGGCATTATTGAAATAAAATCTGAATAAAACATTTAAAATGGATTCAAACATGACCGTGCTCTATTCGAATTTCTCAACCAATCAGAATGCAGCATAGCCAATATAGAACGTTCTCTAATTCTCCATAGATGCACGACCATGCTCTATTCAATCTGCAATTTGCATTGTTTTGAGTGACGTCACATCTCAGCTGCACATCTGGGGCTCTGTCCGGGGATAGCTGCTCTTTTTTACTCCCTCCTCCCTCTATATTTATTTTTATTTTATCAACACACCATTTTTGCATACACCGTATAAAATCTAAAACGGGGAGTAAAATAGAACAGCCCAAACAAATTCTAAAAATTTTCCGGCCGGCTTCAGAAACTTGACAGCATGCGTAGGCTTATTCTTCCTTCATGCCCGTTCCACAGACACGGCTTTTACTAATTTTTATGTTTGAATCCAAGGAGGATTGGCTCCCAGGATCGAAACTCGATATTTTCCAACAATGAAAACGTCGAAATGTCGTTATTTTCTGAAATTAAAACCGACTATAAATTCAAAATAAACAGTTCAAAAGATTCGAACCAATATCTCGATCATTTCTTGTGAGTTTTGGAATTTTTCGTTTGGAAATAAGACCAAAATTCACGATTTAAATGTTGAAGTGAACAAAATGGCGGCTGTTTGAATTCGAATTTTGTATTACGACATACCCATATATGGGACAGAATATCGGTGGTGCACTCTGGGAGCCAATCCTCCTTGGTTTGAATCGGAATAAATAATGATAGGCCATTCAATATGGTGAAATTCAGCACTCGTTGGACAGAATGTTAGTACAAATGCACTCACCTTCGGTTCGTGCTTTGTACAACATTCTGTCCAACTCGTGCTGAATTTCACCATATTGAATGGCCTATCATTATTTATTCCTTAATCATGTTTTTAGAATATATGATACTGTTCTTGTTAAACCAATCTTGATTTTTTTATAATAACCGCAAAAAAATGCCGCGAATATCCGCGGAATTTCTGCAGAATTAGCCCTTTCTTCTTGCAGAATTCACTAATTTCACTTGCAGAATTGAGCATTTTAACTTGCAGAAAACTGGGGGGAGTGGCATATAGTAAAGCTAAGGCAAAGAGGTATAACATCAATGCTATTTCATTTAAATTTGGGGTAACTTCGACACCTTATTCAGGGTTTCATGAGAATTTCTCACAACAGGCTAAAATAAACGAAAATAACAATCACTAATAATCGCTTGTTGCCTGCTAATGAAACCCCTGTTATGTTTATTTGATCTAATTTACGATAGGGGGATTTTTTCTCACATGGATTGAGATCACAAAAGATTTATATTTTTTCCGAAATCTAATGTAGCGGAAAATGGAATTTCTAAAAACCAATTGTCGAAATTACACCATTTTTCATGGCGACGTTTCACCCATTTGCCCTAGAACCATGGACACAAATTTAAAAGTGTCAGAACATCGAACTGAGACAATAGATGCAATAAGATCTAGATTTGTTGGATTTGTGTAAAATCAGGGATTAATTTACCTTCATATCATTTATGATATTCTGGAAGAGTCCACCGAGAGCACTACATTCCTTCTCGATGTTCCCCTCCATCTCTAGGGTTATTGTGGGACCTTCCAGCTTGAATCTCAGAATGATCAGTCAAAGACTGACCTCGATTCAGAAAAAAAAATCCAAATTTTCACTCCCACTTCTTGGCGTAAAATCCACGTTTCCAAGGTATTTTCTTCCGAGATTTTACAGTGATGTGATCTATAGTATATTCATGTAATCCATGTCAAAATAATTCGTCCGTTTGATCAAACGTATGTGAAATATCCTCAAAATATCGTAGGCTTCACTTTTAGTTTATTCACTTCGATCAAAATGGATGGAACTGAATTTGCAAGGAGAATTTTGATTGGTCGAAAACTAGACCAGGCTATTCTATCCACTCCCTTCAAAATCAATTTGCAGACTACCGTATTCGTCTTAATTATGGACCCGGGGGGTTCACTATATATAAACCTTGACGGGGATCCTCGGCGCATGTGGGGTACCTTTTTCAACGTTTGGTATAGCAATGGACCCATATTTTAGGATTTGGTATGGGAATGCCCGGAAATTTCTGACTTCTGAGGTATGGCAATGGTCGGACTTTTGCTCTTCTGGTATGAGAATGGTCGTTGTAGATACGTTACCTAACATTCCTTGTATGACATTGGTCCTGTATTTGCACATTTGTATGACATTGATCCTATATTTCATTTACTTTGAATTAAGGTATGGCATTGGTCCCATATTTGGACATTTGGTATGGCATTGGTCCTACATTTTGACATTTGGTATGGCATTGGTCCCATAATTGGGCATTTGGTATCGCATTGGTCCTATATTTGGACATTTGGTATGGCCTTTGGGCGTTATTTTGGTTGGTATGGGAACATATTGAAATTTGAGAGATTGGTATGGGAACATATTGATATTTGAGGCTTCAGCCTAGGACCCCCGTCGAGTTTTATATACAGTGAACCCCCCGGGATTATGGACCGGCAAAAATAAGTTAAAATGTGGTATGGTACATCATCGTGGTATGGAAATGGACCCAAATTTTAGGATCTTGTGACAATGCCCCAAAATATAAGACGGTATTGTAATGGTCAGATTTTCCAACTTTCTGGTATTAGAATGGTTGAGGAAGATACGTTATCTAACACTTGTGGTATGGCATAGACCAGTAGTTACGCATTTTCTTAATTTGCTAGGGTTGTTTTTTATCATTTCCCAAAATTCGGTCATATATTTGGACATTTTGGTTAGTATATTAGCCCCTTTTTGACATTTGGTATGGCTTTGTGGTGTTATTTACATGTAACTGCCAATAATATTGTACAAATTGGTTGGTCTATGATGGGAAATTATTGAAATTTCATTGATTGGTATGGGACATACTGATAGAGAGTTCAGCCTAGCACCCCACCTAAGTTTGTATACAGTGAATGAACGCTGTTGTGAACACGACCATTGCGTTCCCATAAACTTACAATGATTATGGGCAAATTTTTACAAAAACATATTTTAAGAGGTCCAAAATTTTGTTCATTTCTACAAGACATTCCACTCTCTCAAACCTCAGTCATCACGACCCTTCCACATCCTAAGACCATTCAGTTTTTCGATCTACCCTAATGTCCCTCGGCCATATAAAACCCAAAGTAAAATCTGGATTCAAAAGATTTTATTATGTAAATTAGCTAGCCTAGGGGGCTACTCCCATGTGCCCCAGGATGTCATCGCCTAATTTGGTCAATGTCTGCGAACACGACATACATTTATTGTTGATGTGAGGTGTAAAAATAATCATTCAAACAATCTTGTTTGAAGATCTTGTTTTGCTTATACAATAAATTGTTTTAATGGCAAATTACTATGTGTTTTAATATTCTTAATATATCAGTTTGCTTCTAACTAGCTTCTAAACATTGACTGCTCCTAGGTATTGAATTATTTTTATTGTTTTTTTAAAAACTTAAGTAAACGAAGACGTATGTCTAGGCTACTTATTGAATAACAAATATTTTCACTGTCCAGGATGTTAGTAAAAAAGCCTTCATATTTAAGATGTTAAAAAATGTTAAAATGATGTATAGTAAGGTTAATCTTTAGTCGGTCTATTTTTATATTCATCGACATGCCAGTTTCCATTCTAAAGGAGTGGTGTCGATATGGAGAACTTTTTGAACACACGTTTCTCTTAAACCAGTCATAAAAAATCTAAAAATTTAACACATCGTCGATTTAATGGTCATCTTTTGAATGGTAACAATATAATTTGAAATATATATGTATACTTTCATCTATATTGTTTAAGAAAACACACCAAACACTTGTTTTGTTCTTGGTATCATGTTTCCAGAGTGAAATAAAACATCTTTCCGAACCTCATTGGAACAAAACGACATAAACACAACATGTTTAGGTCTCCCAATATTGTAATTGTACCAAGGAAATTTTGGTTGATTTTAAAAAAGTATCATGTTAATGAAATAAAGGGTTTTTCTTGATTTTTATCTATATTGGGGGGATTTTGTTTCAATTTTTTGAATACTTTCTTAAAATCAACCAAAAATTCCTTTGCATAACTATAATATTGAGAGGTCTAAAAACTTGTTGTATATGCTATTTTGTTCCAACAAGGGTTCGGAAAGACATTTTATTTCATTCTCAAGAATTGATAGAAAGGAGCAAAAACAATTACACTTAAAAACAAAAAATGTTAACAAAAACAGTTAAAACAGTAAAATATTTCTAAATAATTTTCGCATTGAATTGTTGTCAATCAATCAACATTACATAAAATACCGTGTTTTTTACAGAATGTTTTCAATGATTGGTTTAAGAGAAAAACATTGTTGAATCCAGTTCTCCATATCGATACCAATCCTTTTAAAAGTCAAAAGTCATGTTTGTTACATTTTGAGACAAGGAGGGTTGGCTCCCAGAGTGCAATATCGATATTCTGTCCAATATATGGGGATGTCATTCTACAAAATTCGAACTCCAACAGCCGCCATTTTGTTCACTTCAACATTTGAATCGTGAATTTTGGTCTTATTTCCTGACAAACATTTTCAAGACTCACAAGAAATGATCGAGATATTGGATGGAATCTTTTAAACTGTTTATTTTGAATTTATAATCGGTTAAAATTTCAGAAAATAACGACATTTCGGCGTTTTCATTTTTAGAAAATATCGACTTCGATTCTGGGAGCCAATCCTCCTTGATTTTTAGAGACAGTTGCCAAATTATGATTACAAGAAAAAACATCCACAAATATTTTCAATCTGCCAATTTTTATATGTCAAGCCTTTAGCAATGTCAATGAAAGATGGCGAAGTTGTTTGCATCACACGATTTATTCATTTTTGAGAATTATTAACCATACGCCATCTTTTAAATCTTTAAGTGGCAAAATAATGAAAACAATATCCATGATATATTTCCTAACTTATTTACAAGGCATATTGAATTACACAAGTATGATACAAGAGGTAAATACAACTATGCCTTGCCCCAATTTAAAACAGAATCCTTTGGAAGAAAGATGCTTTCATTTTCCGGACCATTTATTTGGAATGGCCTCCCTTCAGAAATTAAAAATTCAAGGTCGAGTAAATGCCTTAAATCTAAATATAAGAAACATATTTTGGCTTTGTATACATGATTTCATTTTCACACTACTATACCTAACACCTAGAAATGCATAAGATACTTTGTTTGTCTAATTGAATTGTTTAATATATTTTTGAAAGTGCCTTACTAGCATCTAATTTTCAACCGATAAACCATTCACAAGGAACAGACAAATAAAAACAAATACATAATCATTACTAATAAGCCAAATGGGTTGCTCATGAACACCAAATGCAAGGTATAGTAGTGTGATTTTACACTTTTCATATTCATGTATTTTATATAAAAATGATATACAAATATAACTCGAAGCCTGGGTACTGGACACTAAACCTGTAAATATTTATATCTGTGATGCACCTCCCCCACCAACACTTCCTCTTCGATCTTCTCTAAGACAAAACTTAATCTTGATATGTTTGATAATTCCTTGACCTTACCTTGTTCTTAATATTCGTAATATTATGCTTTAACATGTACGGGTATAAACATCAGAAATGATGTCACCTGTTAAACCTTTTATATGTACTGTATTTTATTATATTATTAAGGAATAAATTGAAATTGAAATTGAAAAAAGAGTTTGCGAAAGGTGGGCATGCACGACAGTGAATCTCTGAACTTCAAATGCTCTATTTGGGTTATTTTTTCTCACTTCAGTTTTAACCTAAATTAAGGTTTGTATCATGTCTGATTGAGTGTCACATATCTCAAAGATTATTTCATCCTTTTTTCTTCCAAAATATACATAGTGCCTGTTTAAAAGAAAGTGTCTACAGGTGCACTTCTTTTAGACACAGTGGTCACATATATAGGACGTGGTTAGATGACATATATTAATAGACATTAAATTAAAAAGTACTGTACCTTATTTCAGATTTATTTCAGACACTGGTCAGTGTCCAACATTTAATTACTTTATTCATCAAAAGAGGTCACTCAGGTGAGTCGTTTTGACTGTTGATGTAACTGACTTGTACGTAGTTTTAATGTTTTAGTTTTGATTTAGTATGTTGTGCACAATTGAGACCAAAATGCATTTTACGACATCAGAGAACTTAAAAAAAGATTATATATCATTTATCTTTAATAATCCATGCATTCAGTTTTATATTTCGAATTTCGATGTAACTTGAGATAAACATTTTGGACTGAATTAGAAAACCAACTAAAAATATGAATATGCAATACCCTCGTAAATATAAGACACAGCGTGACAAACTTTCCCTGATCCTCAATAGTGACAAACGATTAAGTAGAGCTGAGATTCTGATTGTAAAGTACATTGCCATTTTCTTTGAGCGATGTGTAAATGTCTGAAATCCTCCACAAAACAACTTTTATCTTCTTGTTATCTTGTATCTTATTTATTTTAATCAATATTATTGATTGAATACATTGTTTATTGTAATTGTAGA